ATACTTGAGAAATGAGGGGGGGGGATTATTACATAGGCATTACTGCCTCGTTCTAATCAGAAAAAAAATAATATGCGAATATGATGACTCTTCTTTATCTTCTGTGTTTCAGGGAATATTCACCATGTTGATGATCCTCAACGTTATCGAATTACTCATTTCTCTGTCTATCTCAATTTGTGGATTCCACTCAGAAGAAGATCATGACTTTTAGGACTGTCGTTTCTAGCACTGTGAGAATAAAATGTGTTACAATATTATTACCGAGAGATGAGCTCTGCCCCAAAGGAACATAAAATCTTCAGGCTGCCAACTCTGTGACTCAAAGGGAGGGTGGGTGTGAGGACACACATTGGCACTCAAACACTGCCTGCCTCTTGGCCAGGGCATCTCCCCTCTCCACACCTTGGTGCCATCAGCTGTCCTTCATGCATTCTTTCACCTACAGGACAGCAAGAGTGCTGTTGCCCCAAGACAAGCAAAGGTTCAAACCAAAGCCCCAGGTCAGGGTGACCAAGTTCTCTAACTTTTCTGATTCAGAAAAATCTGCCAGTTTCTCTAAGGTTCTGTCCCGTGATTCCTACTCTATTTTGCGGGAAGATGAGTTAGAGGCAAAAATGGTTTGGCCCACAAAATATATGTTGATGCTGAAAGATCATCCGTGCAGTAAGCTGACCAACTAGAATGGTAACGATAAAAACAAAGAAAACAAATATTTATTGAGCCACTGTGGTGCTCCAGGCTTCATGCTAGAACTTAGCATGCTTCACCCGTTGCTCATTTTGTCTCACAAAAGAAGTGAATTTTAATATTATACCCAAACAAGGAAGCTGAAGAACAGAAAAAGTATGTAATTTTCTCAAAGTCACAAAGCTTTCAGTGGTCGTCTGGCTGCAGAGTGTAGAGGTCTTAATCTGTACACCAATCTCTGCTAAGGTTTTTGGTCTCAGGATCACTTCATACCTTTAAAAATTATAAAGGAAATTAATATATTAGTACAAATAAATTTTTTCTTAAAGTATATTTTTCAAAATAATTAGTAGGGAGGATGATATTGATTTCTGTTTTCAGTAAGCTCTTTAATGCAATGGTTCCTAGACTCAACTGAATATTCAAATCATCTGAGGAACTTTCATAAATTCCCGTTCACCAAATGCAAATACAAGCCAATTGGATCTGAATGTGGTGAGAGCCAGGCATCAGTCTTTTTTAAAAAAGATTTACAAAGGATTTCAATGCAGAGCAAAATTTGGAAACTATTGCTTTACTCCGGCACAATGGAAGGCAACTGGATTCTCGTCGTGGCTTTTGCATTCACTCTGATGTATGGGTTCTGGAGCCTATGGGGTGCCCTATTGCAATCCTATGAACAATGGAAATAAGTTCTAGTATTAACATGAAAATAGCTTTGAGCTCATGGGCCCCCTAAAAGTGTCTTGAGGACCCCAGGAAATTCCCAGACCACACTTCCGGAATCACTGCCTTCCTCTGACAATATCTTCTGGACATTAGGGATCTGCCTGTGCCATCTCAGTTGTCCTGACAGCCCTCTGAGCTAGCTGTGCCTTTATCAGGGACCTGAAACCCACATTCTAAGTAGCTAACTTTTCTGAGATCACAAAGGGAGTATGATTTAGAGCCAGGATTTGAATCAAGATTGCCTAACTCCAAATCCCATTATCTTATGCTCACATGGGCTTTGAGCAAACAAAAAACTTAGCATACTCAAAGAAAATAAATTAACAGGCTGTGTCTATAGGTATGGGTATGAAGGTGAAGGACAGGGAAATGGCAGGAGAAAAAAACGGTCCATTTTTTTTTTTTTTTTATTTTCCAGGAGGTGAGGATCTGATAAAAAATATTTTGGCAACTGAGTGATGTTCAGATGGGTTAGGTGTGAGAAATATTTAAGGTTGAACCCCTGGCAGGTAAAGATAATGGTTTTTAAGTCAGACCTAGATTTAAATATTGGTTTTGCCCCCATAAAACTGTGACTTGAACCAGCTATTTAAACTTTATGTGCTTTAAATTCCTAGAATAATATGCAGTAATAATAATGTCTACCTAGTAGGTTTGCTGTGACCCTTAAATAAAATATATGAAGTGATTTTATCAGTATCTAGAACTTAAAAATCGCTTCATAAATAGTAATGTTTTTGTTTTGTTTTGTTTTATTTTTTGGTGCTGGGGATTGAACTCAGAGGCACTCAATCACTGAGCCACATCCCCAGCCCTATTTTGTATTTTATTTAAAGACAGGGTCTCACTGAGTTGCCTAGTGTCTCACTGTTGCTGAGGCTGGCTTTGAACTCACCATCCTCCTATCTCAGCCTTCTGACTGCTGTGATTACAGGCATGCCTCACCACACCTGGCTAATAGTAGGGTTTTTTAAACACATAATTGTGATTCTCCTGCTCTTGAAACATCAGTTATTAGGTGATTTACTAACTGTGATTTGGGGCCAGTTTTCCTCTTTTCCTGAACTATAGTTTCTGCAATTATCAAACAGAATCTCTACAATACATGTTATGATACTTTTCCATGGGTGGTGCTTGGCATATAAGTAGGTATTCAATTAATGTTACTTACTGTGAACAATATAAAGTAGTCCTACAGGACAGAAGGAACTATAAAGCTCTTAAATACTTGAATTTATACTTTCCTTAGTATGAATTATAAGCACAACATTGGGATTTTATGATCTGTAACTAAATTCTATTTTCAGTTAGGTATTTTGCCTCATTTCTAAGGGACCCTGTATCTCCCTTACCAATGCTCTGAAATAAAACCCTTCCAACAGCAGATACTCCTGGACGCCCGGGCCTTGCTGAGAAGTTGGTAGTATTGTTACTTCCTAATATCGGGTGGCCACAGGAGAGCAGTTAGTCTCATCACGCAATAGAAAAACTATCCCTGCTTTCAAGGGACATGGAGACCAAGGGCTGAGTAAGGAAAGGACACAAGTAATAGGAGATAGGGGAATAAATAGAAGAAAAATTCATATCAGGCAAACACTAAATAAAATTGGTGTAATTTTAAGTTAACTTCATGAAGTAGTTTTTTTTTTTAGAAATGAGAAGACTGGTAGGTAATGACAAGAGGCTAATTCAAAGAAATACTTTTAAATGTGTAATAGAATACTATACAGCAGCAAAATATCCTCAAACATTCAAAGGGAAGAAAGTGACAGATCCAAGAAGATGCTATTGATAAGCCCTGAGTGTAAGTGGGAATTTCAACACACTCAAGCACTGAAAGGACCATCCGTCCAAACTAGCAACGGCAAAATGAAAGGTTTTTTTTATTTGTATAAAATTAATTCAAGTTCATTTAGGATGCACCACCCATACAGCCATCTGTTTTCTCATTGGCCACGAAGATCAAAATAACAAACAACCCAAGACCGATGGGGGAAGAAAAGGGCTTAACCAGAGGGGGAAAAATGCCAAAGACTAGGTTGCACAAACTAAACTCAAACCTCTTTGAGGCCACACATTGGCCACTTCCTGACCCTGATCGCACACTCACTAAAATGAAGACACACACCTCTAACCAGCCGGCTGTCCTGGACTCCAACATTAAGCCTCAGGATCATCCACAATTCGGACCCCACATGCTGCAGGCTATCTGAATGTATCCTCCAAAGTTCATGTGTTGGAAGATTAATCCGTAATGCAACAATGTTCAGAGGTGGGAACTTCCAGACGTAATTAGGTTGCAAGGGCTCAGCCCTCATGGACAGATTAATGCCACAATCATGGGAATGGGTTAGTTATTACAGGTGTAGGTTCCTGATAAAAGGATGACTTCAGCCCCTTTCCACACTCTTACATGCATGCACCCACCCCTGCCCTGATGCCTTCTACCAGGAAATAACACAGACCAAAGGCCCTTGTCAGATGATATAGGGCCCTTGACCTTGGACTTTCCAGCCTTCTAAACTGTAAGAAATAAATCTCTGTTCCTCATAGATTACAGTTACTACCTCATAGTCTCGGGTATTCTGTTACAGCAGCCTCAAAACAGATTCAGACATTATGTAATTATCATTCCTATCACCAGCCGATACGTACAGACCCACTTGGAATCTTACCCTATGTTCTAACCATCTTAAAGAAAAGAGAGGCAGAAGAAGAATGGAGAGAGGTATGAACCTAAAACTACTCAACAGCTGCCATATTTCAACCCCTTAGGTTAAATGAATAATTAGCTAACTATAGCTCTGTGTTTCTCATGAAATAAAGCAATATACACAGACATTCAAGAGTGACTAAAAATCCAACTTATGAACATAAAGATTATATATGGATATGAGGGGTGATAATACCTTTAAGCAAATCTTTCCTTGATTCATCTCCCAAATGAGTTTCCTGGTGCCACCAATTTCCACCAGTTCTCCATTTGATCTAGCACCAAGCTTGATGGCCATGCATCATCCTGAAAAAAGCCAGATCCATGCAAAAAGTACTATTTCAATTTATATCCCCAAATATGGATTTAAGCTTCTGGGCACCATATTGTATTCTTAGGCCATTTCTGCTAAATTTGATATAAGACATATAGGGTCTGCAAAAACCCTCAACGTGAGCAAATGAGGCCAATGTTTGGGAAACAAAAGTACAGCACTCCCAAGTGTATGTGCACAATAATTCTTGATTCTCCGCATGGATACCTCCTCCCCACCTACTCACCGATAAAAGTGAAACATGAGGGCAAAAGGCAGCCCTAAAGCCTATCTTTGGAGAATTTCTAGAGCCCTTCTTTCCCTAGGGACCCACCGTCCACACCTGCTCACAGGGTGGGGGCTGCAAAAGTTCTTCTAATTGAGGTACCATGAAGGGTACCAGGCGGTCCCCTGGGGTGTTTTTCAGGAAGTGAAACCTCCTGGTGAAGCAGAAACTTTTTTTGTATCTCCTTTGGCTCTGGTCAGTTTATATCAAACCTAAATAATTGGAGCAAAACTCAAGGTAGCAGAAGCTACTGATTTCCTGTCACCTGATTTCTGTTAGAAGTACCACCCCCAGGCCTCGATTCTTGAGAAATCAAAGCAAGGATTGAACCCAGCGGCAGGCATTCACATCAGCCCTTGAGCCCTGAAGAGCCAGGTAAGAAATCCGTTTCCTTTGATTAAGTGACTACAGGGAGGTGATAAGGCATAAGATGATCTTAAAGAGCAGAGATTCTGTTTTAACTCTAGGGCTTCTCTTGTCAGGCTTCGTCATGGCATCTTGATTTAAGCCAGGGTGATTTCAAGGCTTGCTGCTCGCCCACACCCTTAGCTACTCTCTCTCTCTCCAGAACTACTATGGACAACCAACTCAGAGTCACTCTACAAAAGTGGCAGATTGGAGCATGTACCTTAAAGCACGGCTTCTAACCTACGGGGTTTAAGCTGGAGCTCTGCCTCCTGCAAGCCTTCTTTCTACCTTAGGCCAATTGCTAAACCTCTATGTGCCTTGGCTTCCTCATCCATAAAATGGGACCAATAGAAATTCTCCTCACATTATGAAGATTGGATAAACTAAAATACAGAAGTGTATAGGACTGCCTGCTATCAAATAAGAAAATGATCAATCACAGTCCTGTGAAAATATCTCCATGAATTTTGCTTTAAATGCTTTTGTCTTCAAAGATATATTGTTAAATATTAGTACACTTTGGTGATGTTAAACCTCCTCAGCTAACATTTCTGCAGAGGATGTTGGCTACAAAATCCCACCTCCAATCTATAACCTAAGAAGCCAGGATTAGGAGTGGGCCCTAGAGACAGGAGGAAGCTCTATTGACAGCAGCAAGTAATAATTTTAACATTGTCATAATGGTTTCCTGGAAGGGGTGTGTGTGTGTGTGTGTGTGTGTGTGAGAGAGAGAGAGAGAGAGAGAGAGAGAGAGAGAGAGAGAGAGAGATTTCCTTTCCTGGTATCCCTTAAAATGACTTGATCTCACTAGTCACCTTTTGAACTTGCATCCTGAGCTTTCGCAAACCTGCTCAGAGGAAGTAACTGAACTTGATGTTCAGTTTAAACTTCATTGAGTTCACAATATGCAAGAAGCAGGTTCCCTGTGTGATCCTGGTGGGAGAGATAATTCCCTTAGGGAATTCACACTCCATAGAAGAGTTAGAATAAATGTTAGGATGAAAGTAGTGAGTAAGATGTGACAAATGCTAAGAGCTGTGGGCTCTGAAGGGGGAGTTCTTGCAATCAGGTGCAGAGAAAAAGCAACAGTCTCAGGGGGTGTGAATGTCTACAGCAGAGTTTGAAAGAACTTGAAGAGGGAGGGAGGGAGGGAGAAGCATTTCAAAACGGAGAAGATTCCCAGAAGGTAGAAGACATGTCCAGACCGGTGGCTCTGGTGTGGACATGAGCTTTGGAAGTCCTTGCAGCTGATCTGTAAAGCTCTAGAGAGGCCTGGAGAGGGTTTCTCTAGTTGGCAGTAACAGGTCAGCAAGAGTTGAAGCTCAGGAAAAGCATGACTTGAGCAGAGATTTAGAGAATTTGATCTAGGAGCCTCTGAAGAATAGATTAGAAAAGAAAATGATTAGCATCTGCATATCAGAGAAAACATTTGGCCTTCAGTTTTTTAGATGGGCTTATTTCACTTAGCATGATATTCTCCAGCTCCATCCATTTACTTGCAAATGCCATCATTTCATTCTCCTTTAAGGATGAATAATATTCCATTGTGTATATGTACCACATTTTCTTTATCCATTCATCTGTTGAGGTTCCGTAATTTAGCTCTTTTGAGTTGAGCTTCTATAAAGTGCATCACTGTAGTTTGTTGATTTTAAGTCCTTTGGGTATAAACTAAGGAGTGGGATAGCTGGGTCAAATGGTAGTTCCATTCCAAGTTTTCTGAGGAATCTCCATATTCCTTTCCAAAGTGGTTGCACCAATTTTCAGTCCCACCAGCAATGTATGAGTGTACCTTTCCCCTGACATCCTCGACAACATTTATTGTTGCTTATATTCTTGATAATTGCCATTCTGACTGGAGTGAGATGAAATCTTAGAGTAGTTTTCATTTGCATTTCTCTAGTTGCTAGAGATGTTGAAAATTTTTTAAATATATTTGTTGATCGATTGCATTTCTTCTTCTCTGAAATGTCTGTTCAGTTCCTTAGCCCATTTATTGATTCAGTTATTTGTTTTTTGTGTTCTTTATATATACTGGAGATTAATGCTGTATCTGAGGTGCATGTAGTAAAGATTTTCTCCCATTCTGTAGGCTCTCTCTTGGCATTATTGATTGTTTCCTTTCCTGAGAATGTCTCTGATATGTGGATGATAATTCACAATAAGGGGCATGTAGCTAGGGAACAATAGAGTTACTTTGCATTAGGTAGAGGGGAGTGAAGGGAAGATGGAGGTAGAAAGATATATAATGTAGAACGAATCTGACATGTACCCTGTGTACATATATGACTACACAACTGGTGTGATTCTACATCATGTACAACCAGAAGAATGAGAAATTATACTCCATTTATGTATGATGTAACAAAATGCATTCTATTGTCATGTATAAGTAATAAGAACAAATTTTTAAAAAAGGATTTAGGGTTTATTGCCTGAAAAAAAAATTTAAAAAGAGACAAAATAGGTAATTTTTTACTTAAATCTTGAATATACTCTGTTGTATTTTGCAGATTGTTGCATCTTACATAAAAGTTAAAAAAAAAAAAAGGAAATGATTGGGATGTGACTCAGTGGTAGAGCACCAGCCCTACATGAAGCCCTGGGTTTGATCTACAGAACAAAAAAAAAAAAAAAAGAATTTTCTGCTAAATGAGAACCAAACTCATAGAATATTTGAATATAGAAAAAGGTCCATATGCAAAATAACTTGCAGAGGGAGAAATGGCATGATTTGGCCATTGGTTGAAAAGGAAAATAAAGGAGATGGAGTAAAATTTGGCTCCAACTTTTGAAACCTGGGAAATAGGGGAATTAAAGTGATCTGAGGCACGTTGCTTAGAAGGGACATTGACTTTGCCACACATTTTTTTTTTTTAAACAGAGAAGTTTCAGCGGAGTGACTCCAACAGAAACTAGTCACAAATCGCTGAGGAGTAAGTGGTGAGGAAGCAGGAGGAAGACAGCAGAGTGCAAAGATTGAATAAGCAGGGGTAAAGGAAAGGGAGATGGAGGGTCATGGCTGGGACATTGGCCGACTTAAGAAAGGGAGCTTTGGGACTGGGGGCAGGGTAGCCCATTTTAGTCATAAGAACAATCTTGTAATAACAAACGGTTTTTGAATATTTGGTACCTTATCAATTGCAAATTATCTTATGTTCTCAAAGCAATAGTTTGAAAATGAGCAAGGTAGCTAATGTCCTAAATTTATACAGAGATCATCACAACAGTGACAGGCAACAGAGGTGAACCTGTTTCTGCAGCGTAATGCCACAAATGGAGCAAGAGACTGTGGGTGCAAGGAAGAACCCATTTCTTGGAAAAGCAAACATTCTAGTGGAGGGAGATGGACAGAAGGGCACAGAGGGGGAAAAGTCAGAACGTGCATCCTCAGAGACAAGCACCCAGGCGGGCGGAAAGGATAAAAATGCAAAGCTATTCTGAGTGGCAGAGGAAGTCAGGTGGCTTTGAACTTCTCAGTACATGATGGAGTTAGTGGACCTAAAAGTCATTATGCAAACCAGACCTGCATTGGCTGTAAGATCTCTAGTGAATAGACATGGAAATGGCAGCACCTTCAAAAACCAGAAGAGATTTGCAGAAGTTGCTGTAATAAAATAGGGTAGTGCATGATCAACTGAGTCTTCATTTTAGTATCAGTGCTGATTATAGTACCTGTAAAAATAAAATCCTATTTATAACACATTTTGACCAGTTTAGTTAGTAGCTCCTGCTAATCTACCAGCTTACCTTTTGGCATTACTGTGAGTTGGATACTACGGAAGTCATTAAGTATAATTATTTTAATGATAAGGCAAAGCTGTGAGAATCTACAATATCCTTAGGAATAGGTGGACTGGTTCTAGTTTTATGTATATATATATATGGTCATTTTTTATATGATGCTATTTTATAGTAATATTTGTTGAAGAATTTGTAGAAATAGAGTTGCCCTAGTGATATACTATTTAGGAGAAAAATAAAACATCTACCCATCCGTGGTCACTGCTGCTGTTAGCCATGATAGCCATTATAGATATTACCTCACCAATAATACAGACACAGTTCTCATCAAGCAGCTGACAAACAAGGATAAATTAAAACAATGATAGTCAAATCATCTCCTTTGGTCCAAACAATTGATGACCTCTATATTTTATCTCCCTACTGTTACTCCTTTGGAGAGGACCATAGTAACTTCCAGCTCATTCCATACTTGCCAAAGGACCTCAGGAAAATTGATTAATTTTCTGACCCACCATTTCACAACTACAAAAAGGAGACACAGTGCCTGGTATTAAGTTCAAGCATTATTACAGATACTGACCAAGACAGAACAAAATCTCTACTTTGTTGGATCTTACATTCTGGGGAAGAGAGACACAATACAGCTAATCTCCCTCAAGGATAAATGCCAAGAAGCAAATAAAACATGTTGTTGTGAGGGAGAGGAGTATGCACTATAGGTTGAAGGTTCAGGGAAGGCTTCTCTGAAGAGATGACATCTGAGCTACATCTGCATGAAAAGGCACCTATTTGAGTCTTACAGCAATCTATAAAACAACAATTATTATTGATCCCATTTTATAGTTGAAGAACCTGAGACCCCAAGAATTTAAAACACCTCAGAGCAAATAGGTGAATTAGTATTTAAACCCAGGCAATCAGACTCAGGAGGTTGCAGTCTTGCATGCAGCATCACAGAACCTTCTTGACATGAGTTGCGCAAGGTCACAGAGTTAGAGCCCCCTCCAGATTCTAAGGATAGTCCTCACTGTGTTGTCTGGCCTGTTGCAATGTGCAGGGGAAACTAAGCAACAGAAGTCAATAGAAAGTACATTTTCCAATAGTGAAGCATAAATAAAGGCATCCAGGACTGAGAGACAAACAAGTGTTGGATGGGGCTGGGGTGTAGCGTGGTGGTGGTGCCTGGCCTAGTATGCACAGGGCCTGGGGTTGAACCCCAGCACTAGGAAAAAGGAAGAAGAAGGAAGACAACTGTGACATGTGGACAGACATGCATGGAGCTTTCTTTTAAGGTAAAGTATGCCCCAAGCCAGGTTGTGGAGAATGCTGGCAGAGACTCCTAGGCCCATGTGTCCCAAGAGCCCCTGCAGATGGTTCTCAGAACCCAGTAGTAGGTCTTGCCTCAGATCCCAGGCCAGCAGGGAGGAGCGCTGTCTACCCTCAAAGACACACAGAGGGAAGGCTGAGAGAAACATTCAGATGCGTGACAGGAGATTATCAAAGACCTGGTCTTCGCTCTCCTTATTTTATTACTGTTTTTAATTTTAGGAGTTTTGAGAACAAAATGACAACACCCAGAAATTCCTTGAGTGGAACTTTCCCTACAAAGGGCCCTATCTCCATGCAACCTGCTCCAAAAGTAAACCTCAAGGGGACGCTGCCGCTGGTGGGCCCCACCCAAAGCTTCTTCATGAGGGAATCTAAGGCTTTGGGGGTAAGTCAGTCACCCTACACTCCAAATCTAGAGCTTCTCTGGTCTACGGAAGCGGATGCTACAGGCCATGTGTGGGATTCAGTCCAAAGTGAAGGGGTGTTATCCGACCTGGCATGCTCCCTATGTGACACAGCAGGTCCACACAGGGTTTTGCCAAAGAAGTTATCAACTGGGTCACTGTAGGGGGTCTGATGTCACCATTGGTTTAGAAGTATGTAGCTTTAAGGGCCTTTCATCTCAGTCTATTGCTAGAATGCTTGTTTCCTGGAAATGTCCTCATATGATGGGAAAAATGTATCTGAAGAAGAAAAAGGCAAAATCCTTGGCACCACTGCTACTTCCTACAGGCAACTGGCAGGGTTCCAAGTTAGAGCCAAGGCTTCCCACCTTCCCTTGCCTGCCAACAGTGATGATTTCATCCACCATCCTCCTCCTCTTCTCTCCCAGGCTGTCCAGATCATGAATGGGCTCTTCCACATGGCCCTGGGAGGGCTGCTGCTGATCCCCACAGGGGTCTATGCACCCATCTGTGTGACTGTGTGGTATCCCCTCTGGGGTGGCATTCTGGTGAGTGAAAAATATAATGACCCCTTGTAAAATGGTGAAAAAAAATACTAAAAAAAAATGTAGACCATTTGTGTACTGAGGAAAGTGCATGGGCAGAAAATAGATTATTGGTTCCGTGGGAAGAGAGGTTGGCTAAACAGAGGGAGTGCGCTCCCAGGGTTGAGGGTTAGTGGTTATGCTTCAGATGAGTTCAGAAAAAGATGCTCTGTGTGACCCACACTGGGAAGAAAGAGTGTTCCAAGCTGGGCCTCCCCAGTCAGTCGATTCTGGAGGTGAGGAGGCACTCGATGTTTGGTGTTTGGGAAAGCCAGAGGCAGCATGTCTGCCCTTCTGCTCTTCTTCCCTATAATTGTTTACTTACTATGGCACCTGGTGAAATTAGTCCCAACCCAAATAAATTTCCCTTTATGAGTTCAGCAACATTTCCTTGGGCTGTGTCATTTGCAGGTTTTCCAAACCTGAAATCCCACCTGAGAATGGCATGGGGCATCGATGTTTATTTCCCCAGGGCACTTTTCCTGGCTGCCACTGTGAGACCAGAGTTGAGAATTTCAGAACAAATAGAAATGAGTTAGAATAAGAGCTTCCCACTGATTTGCAGCATGAACATCAGGAAAGGAAGATGAGAAACAACCACGGTTCTTTCCGGGGGCAGCTGACATTTTAATGAAGGGCCTTCACATTCAACTCTTCCTTCTCTGTTCATTCACACCTCATGGGCATCACTGTGGCCCCAAAGAACATTCTCACAAGTTACAAACACAAGGAAAAGAAAACTCCTCAAACTTTTTCTTCACACTGATACCCTCTCACCTGTGCTACATGGGACGTCAGCCCTAACTGTAGCTTGAAAGATGGTGGTCTGGGGCTGACTACAATCTACACCAGTAATGAGTAGTGGTGTTATTATTGCTGCTGCTTTTTGATTCAATTTGAAGAAACAAACTAAGGCATATCTATCTGCTTGGTGTACTGAGTAACAAGAAAATGTGGGTTTTCTTTGCTCTTACTATATTCCAAGTTACACATTCCCAGGTGGTTGAATAACATGGACTGAACATAGGCCAACCTGAATAAGGAAGAAATATGACTGAAGAGAAATGAATGCACTTGATTAAATGGGTTAATGGTTCAGCGAAAATGGCTGGAAATGTTCATGACTTCTTTACAACCAGTTCTCAATGTTAAAATGTGATCTCCCTCTCTCCCCCTTTTCCCAACTCTCCCACTCCCTCCCCCTTCCCCCAACCCACCACCTCACCTCTCTTCTTATAGTATATTACCTCTGGATCGCTCCTGGCAGCAGCAGAGAAAACCTCCAGGAAGAGTCTGGCAAGTAACCGTATGTCCTTCTTTCCCACACATCAGAGAAATAGCTGTTTTCTCAGTTGAAAACAAGGAAGGACCCTTAAAGAGCTTTGGAATCACAGACTCTCCACTCTCAAAAGCAAAGGATCCTCCACAAGGCTGGCTGTCATTTCATTCCTGCAAAACCTGAAAGTGAGATCTACTTTATGCATGTCCTTAGAAGCACAGCTAAAGGCAGAGCTATGAAGGCTGTGCTTAAAATCTTGTCAGCGTTAAGTGCTGTGTGAAAATAACAGACCTTTTGAAAGCCATGCCATTTCTTCTAGACCAGCACTGAGGACAGTTGCGTCATCAACATTATGACTAATTCATGCTCTAGCTCAGTTAGAATCTTAAGTTATAATCTTGAGCAAGACTGTTTCTCTATGAACCTCTTGAGGTGTCACCTACTAGATGGAGATGGTACCATAGGAAATGGTTACCATTCCTGTGTCTACTAGGGGAAATCAGTATGAGGATGGAATGGAGAAACATGTGACAGTATTTCAGAAGCTAGAAGCTTCCATGTGCTCTTGTTCTTATAACACTTACAAAAAAACACCCAGGAAGACTCTGCCCTGAGGAGCACCTGATTCTGGATGGGTGACGAGGAGCTTACAGCCAGTTTCCTCTCAAAAAAGCCTCTCCCAACACTTGCACTTACTAAGCCAAGTCACTTGTAAAGTCCGAGTACTTGTAAAGTCAGTGAGGGAGTTGCGTGAACTGAGATGGGTCCCCTCTAAAAGTGCTCTAACAAACTCAGTTTGGGGAGATCAATTATTCTATTATCCAAATGCAGCCAGACCCACTGAGTAGCCCTCTGTAGATCACATGGCCAGGGATAGAATGTGTGTGTTGTAAAGTCATCATCAACAATCCCATGCCACTGTGGCACTTGTCACATATATCTTCCTGTTTCAACCTTGTACCATCCCTGAAAGGCAGGACATCCACATTGACTGTCTCTCACCTATACTACCCAGAGACGCCAGCCTTAACTGTATCTTGAAAAATGGTTGACCAGGGTGGATTGAATCCTATGTCAACAGGGAGTAGGCAGTGGTGTCATAGCTGCTGCTGCTACTCCTTGCTTCTCTTTGACACCACAGTCCTGGAGGGTGCTATTTGCTCCTTCCAAACCTATACCCATAGTACCATACTTAAGTGTAATGCAAAAATCTCTCTCCTCTGCCTCCTAGGTGTCATTCATCTTCATTTATTCAACAAATATTTATCAAATACCTAGTAGGTAGGAGAGTGCCAGTAAAATAAGTATAAGGTTATGCAATACAGGAATCAAAGATCATTCCTAGATGCTTGGCTTGATAAACTGAATGGATGGTCATATCATCAAATGAGATGGAGAAGACTGAAAAAAGGAACAAGATACTTGAGTTTTTATTTACATAAATACAGTATATGTACAATGTAGATTTTATTTATAGAGACAATGGGGCTAAAAACCAATTAGAAAAAAACTCTGGTAATTTTAGGTGTCAGAGAAATGACATCTGGGATTCCTCACTGATAATTCCCAAATGGAAGTTAAACATAGTTAACGGATCTGTTTATCTGTTTCAGGTCCAAGCAAAAGTAATAATGAACTCATTGAGCCTCTTTGCTGCCATTTCTGGAATAATTCTTGTGATCATGGACATACTCAATATTACGATTTCACATTTCTTAAAAATGGAGAGTCTGAATATTATTAAAACTCCTGTGTCATATATTGACATATACAACTGTAAACCCACTAATCCCTCTGAGGAAAACTCTCCATCCACAAAATACTGTTACAGCATACAATCCATGTTCTTGGTAAGTGTGAAACTGGATTTCTCTCCAGGGAAGAAATATGTCATTTTTATTCCAATTATCAACTCCAGATCTATAATGTCTAAGTCTGCTAATTTTTGCAAATGTGGCTTTGGCAAGAATTTTACCTATACTCTGCCTCAGTTTCAACTGTAAGATGAGGATAGTGATAGCAGTCATTTTATAGCATTTTCTTTTCTTTCTGTCTTTCTTTCTTTTTTAGGAATAAATGAGTTAATATATGCAAAGCACTTAGAACAGTGTATGGAATATAAAAAGTGTTAAGTGTTTCAACATTAATTATTAATGTCATTTGTGGTGTTAATATCTATCATAATTATTAATATAAACATGGAAGAAATTCCTAAGATATCAGAGTTTGAGGGGAAAAAATGTTCATCCCTCAGTTGTGGAGGGTTGCACCGAAAGCTGAATAGAGTTTAATTTAGGACTCAGCACTTACTGTTTCTTACCTAAAACTGATGATTCAACTGACAGTTCTTCTGTCAGCAACATGCATTAACCATCTGCTGTACGCCTGAAGTTGCATTAAGGGTTCAGGTTATAAAGTCACTGTCTTCCATACTAATGGTTTTCCCAGGGAGTCATTACTTAGCTAAAGAACAGATCTTTTAATCATTTATTTGATTTTAGTTATCAGTCATTTACAGAACACCAAACATACTCTCTGTGCCATTATTACATTCTCACCTTCATTCTTCCATTATTTTTCAGGGCGTTTTGTCAGTGTTACTGATCTTTGCCTTCTTCCAGAAACTTGTGACTGCCGGCATTGTTGAGAATGAGTGGAAAAGATCCTGCTCCAGGCCCCAAGCTGTAAGTAGGAGCCACTGTGTCCATAACACCCCTCTCGAAAATTCACATCTACAAAGGATCATATGTGGATAATGTGATCCAGTGAGACTTTGGAACTGGGAACTTCACACACACCAAAAAAAAAAAAAAAAAAAAGGTCTTGCTGTATTTCTGGAGAGCAGAAAATACTAGCTGCTAGCAATGAAGTAAACTGTCTTTGAAATTAGAAATATGTCTATAGCTAGACAGAAGGGATAGTTCTATAATATGTGAACCTTCTCACTAACCTTTTCTTCCACTTGCTGTCATGATTCCATACCTGATGTTTACGGATGGTTGAAGATTAAATCACTAGTTCTTTTATTTCATTTCTCTTTAATCCTCTCTTCCTCCCACCCATTTCTCCCACTTTCTCTTCCAAAATTGTAGGTAGGTCCAAAAAGGCTCCAAAGTTGGGAAATATGAATATCCCAGTGATAGATCTAGTAACAGCTGCTTTGGAACCACAACCCATTAGACTTGGAACAGAGCTTAGAAATCATCATTAATCCCTTTATTGTGCAGTTTTGGAAAATAGGATCAGAGAGAGAAAATTGCTCTGTCAGGACTATAACCACTAAGGGCAAATTAGAACCAGGGTCTGAATCCTCTATTACTGCAGTGTTCTTTTCCCCTGCTATGTGATCATTCCAGGCAAAGTGGCAAATGCCTGCAGCCCAGGGGATTTACTCAGACTTCAGTTTTGATAAGTGACTTGATAAGGATTTCACCACCTGGAAAATTAATCCTGGTGTTGGGAGGCATATAGTAAGCAACATAAGTAGCCTAAAAACTTGAAGGCTTTTGAGAAATATGTATAGAGATGATTGAGAGAGGTGCCAATGGTAAAGGTCAAGAAAAATTTGTTTGTATTCTAGAAGGTGGTTCTTCTGTCAGCTGAAGACAAGAAAGAACAGACAATTGAAATAAAAGAAGAAGTGGTTGAGCTAACTGAGGTACCTTCTCAAACAAAGAATGAAGAAGACATTGAAATTATTCCAGTCCAAGAAGAAGAAGGAGGAGAAGAAACAGAAATAAATTTTCCAGAACCTCCCCATGATCAGGAATCCCCACCAATAGAAAATGATAGCTTTCCTTAAACTGTTTCTTCTGGATTTTGCTGCCTCTTTTAAGCATTAGTATTTAGCTTCTAAGAGACATAGTTACCCCATTTCTTGAGGCACTCTGTACTGGTTCTCCATGTTTCCATCTGGTCTTTGCTGGAGTGACCACAGCCCCATCTCTAGCACATTCAGCAAATGTGGGAATTGTAATAGATTGTGATGTCCTATTTCTTGTTTGGGGAAACTTTCATACATTGGAAAAAAGCAGAATAAGTGCTGCAGAACATGATTTCCCACTAGATTTCCCCTTGGCTAGGCTTTTCAGTAGTAGTGCTTTGTAGTTGTTTTTTCCATTAGCAACAGGACGACTCAGCATCTGGTAGAAAAGATCCATGACTGACTCATGCCATTCCTTTAAGCTATCTTTAACTCCTTCCCATCTACATTTTTTTGTTGAAGTTCCTTTTGTATCATTGTTTTAAGGGAAATAAAATGATAACGATAAGCAATAAAGAATCAATCCATCAATATCTCATAGGGCTGACGCCATGACATATTCTTGGAGAATCAGCATTCCATTAGGGAAGTTCTAAGTGGTCACTACCCAGTCCCTTAATTGTCCAAATAGTACAGCTTATATTTGAACATGTCTCTTAAAGTTCCCCAACTCCTACTCTGACCCTCGGTTACGTTGTCTCCCTCCTTTTAACCTATAGGCAAAAGAAGAAAGAATGATTAGAGAAAATACCATGAGTACTCAAATCTCAGGTAATAATCAAAACATGTATTTATAGAATGCTTTACAGGTGACTATTTCATAAAATAATTTCATTTAATTATCTATTTTCAAGAAAGAATGCTTATCCCTATTTTATAAGTAATTCAAAGAGGTGAACACATACCTGTCATAGTCACAGCTAGCAATCCTGAGAACCTTGTTTCATTCACAGATCTTCATACTCAAATCCTGGTGATGTTCAAAGCAACCAGACTGCAATGTCTGCATAAATTACCAGAGCCATGTTATCAGTTGTTATCAAGAAGCTACTCTGACCAGAAGATGTTAGGAGAGTTACAAAGAGAGTCAGAATCAGAGTTTATCCCTTTGGATAAAAACCTTAGAAATTCACAACAGTCATAAAACTAGTTATGGCATAAGTATTTAATTAGCTGGCAGACTATATAATGCAGACACTAAGTATCATAGACATCCTCAGGAAGAAGACCATGTGTGAAAACAGCATAATTAAAGTGCCAAGTCTCAGGCAAAAGCCATCCTGCTTTTCAATTCCTGTTCATGTTCAGAGATACAATACCTTACCTAGGAAGAATGTTAACCTAGGAAGACATTGAGATCATCCTTCAACCTAAAGCTGTAATCTACCAGTTCCAAATGTGGTAGGTGTATGGGACAAGGTAATTTTCATTTCCTGTGATATTTCCACTTTGTTAAGGACTATCTGTGGAAGATATTTCCTGTAATTACAATTTTAAAAAAGGAAATTAACCATTTTTCCATGCTAAGTTTTCAAAATTAGCTGTAAGTGAATAAAGCTTTGTGTTCTTGTCTGAAGTAGGTGATTCTCATGTGAGTGTCTCCCCATCCTTCATTAATCTTGAAATGTCAGACCACGGGGGTTCATCATATTCACATATACTCAATCTGAACTGGAATGGTGAGGGGTCAGGTAATTAGTATTTACAGTACATTTGTAAATCCTGAGTAATATCTTCATGGACTGTGTTGTTAATAATGTATTGCTCACTCTCAGCAATCACAGCATGACCAGAATGCATGACCATCGCTCCTGCTTTAATTAGAGAAAAGGGAATGGCAGTGGCAGACCCATTGAAAACAATAATGAAGTAAGAAAAAACTCAAAAAAAATACAAGATTATATTTCTTATTTTCCCTACTTCTGAAATATACATGAGGACCCCTCTCCAAACCCATGGTTTATGTAGAAATTTTATTTTACTCATTTTTATGATCTCAAGTAATTGTTTTTACTGAATTCACAAAACTCCTTATAAGACACCATCAATGTCCAAAAGAAGAATGAAAATTGTTGCCATAATCTTCTTCCTAATTATCCTTTCATCAATATGGAATCAAATGACATTGGCCAATAGAAAATAGGCTTTGTCCTAAAGTGAAAGATGTATTCTATAGCTTTAGTTTTTTCCTCTCCATTTTTCTTTTGTATAAAGAATTTTACAACCATAAAACATTTCAAAAATTAATTGCTCCCACTGATTAGGAGATTGACTTACATCCTTTCAATTTTCCTTTCTTTTTAATAATCCTTATTCACAATAAGGTAATCATCCATCCCAGTTTATTCAGGCCTGAAGGATTTCTTAGGATGTAGGATTTTCAATGTTAAAACCAAGATAGTCCCTAGTAAACTAAGTGGTTGATCACCATAGTTCATAGTTCTACACAATTTAGGCAATTACAATCACTTTAGTAGTTACAGTATAATCTACTTTTTATGTGCAACAATGTGTCATAATTTTCTTTATTCTCACAAGCATCATTTTTAAATTGCAACTTAATATTCAATGAGTCAATCAAGATTAATTCAGTATTCTACTAGTTCACTATAACTGGCTACTTACGGTATTTCCTTTTTCTGCTTATTTTTTTTCTTTTTTGTGTTGTTGTTGTAAGTGTTGCAAATCACTGTTGGAGCTGCAGAAACTGAGTAAGATATGTATTTTCTCTTCTTGTTATTCAAAATGTGGCTTCATATTCAAGCCTTGTCCATGTCTACCAGTAGGAAGTATTGTCATCTGTTAAAATCCAGGAAAATCAAATTTTAATTTCACCGGTCGAAGTGAAATTCTCAAAGATCCAATACACAGAAATGGTAGCTTCAGATTAATTTCATGTGAAATCATGTATGGAATTCGACTTGTTTTAAATTCTTGGTGAATAACTTAGAACACTCATGGGGGCTCAAATATGAATTTTTTTCTAGGTTAAGTCTGCAATTCTTAAAGAGATTCCCTTTAATTCAAACCTGATTATGTATTTTGAACTACAGAACCAAGCAGTATAAAATGAATATGGTAGGATCATGTAATGCAAAAGTCAAAGCAAATTTAAGATTATCCTATGGAATCATGGTTGGCCCCTACTCATCTCTTCCCTTGTAATTTCCAGTAAAAAAGTATGCATTCTGCTGCAAGTGAGAACAAAATCCTAAAGGAAGACAGAACCCATCATTGAAAAATCATTAATTCATTTATTGAAACATATTTACTGATCACAGACTATTCTGCAACACAAAATGGTGAGAAAAAAACAGGCAAATTATCTCCTTAGAATTTCTATCTGGGTGGAAAAAGAGGCATTAATAAAATATCTATCAGGCATCTACTATGGTGCGCTAATCAGTTTTTTGTCCTTTTGACAAAATACCTAAGAAAATCAACTTAAAAGGAAGAAAGCTGGGGGTGGGGGAGGGTCGTGTTCTCTGGGTTTCAATTCACGGTTGACTATTCCATTGTGTTTGGGCCTGTGCTGGGGCAGAATATCACTGTGGGGAGTATGTGGTAGAGGAAAGCTATTGACCTTATGGCATGACCTTCACCTCATGGTAGAGATGAAGAGTCCAGGATGCCAGTATGCCCTTCAAGTGCCCATCTCCAGTGACCTACTTCCATCCACTGGATCCCACCTCCTAATGGTTCAATCACCTCCCAATAGTGCCACAGGCACAGGGATTGGATCACAAGCTCTGAGTAGGCTAGTTCTATGGTTTTTGACTGTAGCAGGGAGATTTGCCACTAAATACTTCTCACACACCTGGATATGAGGCTTGGAAATCAGGGGGGGAAAAAAAAGAATAGAATTAAAAATGAGTTACATGAATTAGGCACCTAAAGTTGCTAGATTGAGTTACAGGGATGGACGAGAGTTCCCAGTGGACGGTGACACTTTGTTCAGGATGTCCCCATTTAGCTGTCAGAGAAAGTGCAACTACTAAAGATGAAACTGAAGACATCTAAGAAAGTAGGAGAGGGACGTAGAGAGCGTCCTGTCTTGGAATCTGAGGAAGGGCAAGTGTCTCAAAGGACAAGGAAGCAGCAGGGCAGTGATGTTGAGAAAGCCTGAAGAAGAATTGAGACCACTGGATTCTGAAATTCGGAGGTCATTGCCAGCATTAGGAGAAACCGTCTGAGGCAAGTATTAGTGAGAGAAGACTGACTGTAACACACTGGAAAATGAACAGTGATGTGAAAGCATTCAAACTGTGAAAGCAGACTCTGCTTTTGAGATATCTGATTGGAAAGAAAAGGAAAAAAGACAATTCAGGGGTTTGCATGAGAATCAGGGCAAGGGATTACTCTGAATAGTGGGTGGTCTAAAACCTGCACTCACAGGTAAGTGCAAAGCCACATTCATTTATCAAATTGACAAATATTTGTTGAGTATCTACCTTGTAATACTATTCTGAAGGCAGAGGATATTGCAGTGAATAACAGAATAAAATATCTGTATTCCTGGAGTTTATAGTATTCAGATCCATTAATCTGCATCTTACTAGCAAGTAGTCAAGAAGACAATGCAAAGTTTTGACATCTATATTCAGTTAGAGCTAAGTATCAGTCAGACCATGTCCAACTTATTAATATTCTAATTGTTAACAATTGTATCTTTTGCAGTGATCTTGATCTTCAAATCAATATTTCTCAGCTTTGATAAAAACAATCATTATGGCTAATACAGTAGAAATAAATTTGTAAGCTACAGCATCAATGACAAGAGCAATATTACTCAATGGACCAAGTCAAATCCAGGAAAAGTCCATGACCTTAAAAGGTCAAAAAGCTATTGTCATGTAATCATCTGGCACCATTTTTCATCAGCTTCTACAGCAGAGGAACTACCCAGTTACCTATCTACAACTCTCTGTGCTTTTTATCTTTATAGGAAATGAAACTTGTTAAAGTTATGCTTTTACGTTTTGCAGGAAGCAGCTGCAATGAAGCCAAGTGTATGACAGGAACACTATGTGTCACAAGATAGTAGAAAACTTCATTAGCATTTATTAAATGAGACAGACACGAGATTTCTCTTTTCAATTAACATGACCCGTTGCTTGACAAAATACCATCTAAATTCTTATCTAGAAAGTATTATTCATAGACTTTTTGTTTGCCAATGTAGAACTGCAAGAGATGATTTTAAATGCCTTGTTGACCTGAGTCCTCTTGAAAATTTATAATTAGGAAATCTCTGAGAAAGACAAATTCCAAAAGGGAGAAAAGGAGTAGATGTGAGCTTAATTATGTCATGGGGTGGGCATTTAAGCATTTTAGCTTAGCATGTATGACATTTTTCAAAACCAGTGGTTTTCAACAGCAGCTGTGCCTTTAAATGACTTGGGGAAATTTAAAAATTTCTGGCACTTGAGTATTAACACAGAGAGGCTGATACTGAATACATCTGGCTCAGCTTGGGTGTAGGTGTTGGGTTTGTTTTTCTTTAGTTCCATTTGATCTCAATGTGCATCAGGTTGAGGACCTCTATTCTAAATTACTTGTAAGGAGTCCCAGACATTCCAAACTACAAAACCAAACAGGGCGGGATGACACTTGTCAGGTTTTTCCTTCCCTCCTTCCCTTTCCCTTCACTCTGTCTTTATTTGCTTTGCTTGTGTTGTCACTTTGTCTTGTCTTGTCGGCAACACCTTTAAAGAAAGTAGATGACATAATTTCTGAAATTATGAAATGAAATAAAAAGAATACTTTGAGAAGTCCATTTAATAAAGAAATTAGAGTCGGTGACAGAAAAGATGCAATGAGTTAAAGTGGGTCTGATTAAAATTTTATTAGAGAGAAATAAAAACTGGAGAGACAACATTTACAACATTCTACAGCTTCATCCAGGAAGAAGACCCCTAACCCGGGGGAGATCCTAGCAGAGTCAAACTATTTCCTTAAGATGTGAGATGACAGTTGCTGTTTTTGTGATCATATGTGGTAATTCAATAAGCCAAGGATCCTGTTGCCTTCGTGTGAAGTGGTCCCTCTATCAACCACTGAGATCCACGTTTCAGTCAGTAGGACAGGAAGCAGGACAGAGCAAGGAGACGTGGGGAGCAAGACAGAACAATGTTAAGGCCAAAGAACCTCCTTCTAAGGCTTCTCATTTTAGAATTGTGCCTGCACTTCAGAGACTCAGACAAGAGGAAATGTATTTAAATTGGTACAAGAAATGAATTGGTTTAAAATAAGAGGAAGAGAAACTCAGTTAAGCACACACTGATACCTATCATGAAATATCCAGCCCAACAAGCATCAGAGTAAGAACATTATATTCCATACTTCATTTATTCCTTGCCTCAAACTCAATTGATGTGTGATTCCTTTTCTTTAAATGGAATTTAAAGAAATGTTACTTCCCAAAATCACATGTCTAGTAAGAAGGGGACTGGGATACAAACCTCAGCCTAATGACAAAATCTTCATCCTTTCTCCTCTTTCTTAAGACCAAAAGGAAAAATCTTTATATTTTTCATAAAGATACACCATATTACATTACCTCTTCACTGTTATCAT